TCCTGCTGATTGCGTTGAGGACTTCAGCACGAAGGCCTCCCATGTCCTTCAGAGAGAACCTCACCAAAGGATCTCCCCACTGGCTCTGCAGGCATGCCTAGTGCCCTGGGTGCTCAACCCATAACTTTGCCAACCCTGTGGCCAACTCCTTTGGTGAGCTCCCAAGTTCAGTATGGAGAGCTAGTCCCATAAATGTAGTGCTATCAGAAAAACACTAGGATCTGGGTGCAAGGGAGAAACCACACATTTGAACTATAGCGCCACCTTCTGGAAAACAAAAGAGACGTTTTCTGGAGCCAGCCTGGTGAGCTGTAAAAACTAGAGAAGACATAAAAGCTTAAGAATTCTGCTACAAGAAAGAACAAGAGGAGTGGAGCAGGTATACCCATGTAAAGGCCGATAAAACCCAGCTATAATAGCATTAATAAACAAAATAGCTCATGTAAGGCAACTAGTAAAGATTTAAGGAGGTGTCTGCTACTTTAAAGGCAAAAGCAGCAATACAAAACTACAAGGACATGAAAAATCAAGGAAACATGTCATGACTAAAAGATAATAATTCTCCAGTAACCTAGCTTAAAGGCATGGAATTTTGTGACCTGGCTGACAAAGAATTCAAAATAGCTGTTTTAAAGAAACTCAACAAGCAACAAGAAAATACAGAAAGACAATTTAATTAAACCAGGGGAAAATATGTGAACAAAATGAGATATTTTCCAAGGAAACAGAAATCATTCTGGAATTCTGGAATTGAAGAATTTAATGAATGAAATGAAAACTGCAATAGAAAATATCTGTATCAGAGTAGAGGAAATGGGAGATATAATAAGTGAGTTAGAGGATAGGTATTTTGAAATAACCCAATTAAGAATAAAAGAATGATAAAGATTTTTTAAAAAAGGCTACGTGATCTATGGGATTAAATGAAAAGAACAAAAGTTAGAACAATCAGGATTCCATAAGGAGAAGAGAAGGGTGCAGAAAGTTTGTTTAAAGAAATAATAACTCAGGACTTCCCAAACCTGGGGAGAGAATTGGACATCCAAGTTTACAAAGCTGATATGGATCACTGTATTATCGCGATGCAAAAAGACCTCCAATCACATTATAATGAAACTGAAAACTGAAAGCCAAAGAGAGAATCTGAAAAGCAGACAGGGAAAAAAGATTGTAACCTAAAAATGGAACCCCCTTTAGCCTATCAATGAATTTCTCAGCAGAAACCTTATAGGCCAGGAGAATGTAAAATGACATTCCAAGTGTTGAAAGAAAAAAATTGTCATCCAAGAATACTTTGGCAAAGTTACCCTTTAGATATGAAAGAGAAATTATTTCCCAGACAAACAAAAGCTAAGGGAGTTTATCATCAGTAGACCTGCCTTGTAAGAAATGCTGAAAAAAATTCTTTAAGCTGAAATGAAAAGATGCTAATCACCAACAAGAAAATATATGAAATTATACAACTCTGATAAAGGTAATATTTAGGAAACCATAATTCTGTAATAGGATGGTGTGTTAACCACTTAACTATACTGTAAAGGTTAAAGGGAAATAATATTAAAACTCTCAAGTTCATTTTATGAGCTACTATAATAGTTAATAAGTATACAATATATAAAGAGGTATGTTATGACATTAAAATATAAAGGGGTGGAGCTCTTACAGATGATCAAAATTAAGTTGCTATTAGCTTTAAATGGACTGTTTTATCTATGAGGCGTTTGTTGCTTTCAGTTTTATATACCGCATGTGAGTGATATGTGGTTTTCAACTTTTTCTGTCTGACTTATTTTGCTTAGCATGATTATTTCAAGATCCATCCACGTCACAAATGGCAGTATTTCATCTTTCCTTATGGCGGAGTAATATTTCATTGTATATATGTACCACATCTTCTTTATCCAGTCATCTATCGTAGGACACTTCGATTGCTTCCATGTCCTGGCCACCGTGATCTATGAGGTGTTTTATGTTAGCCTCATGATAACCACAAAGCAGAAACCTAGAGTAGATTCACAAAAATAAAAGGAGAAACAGAGCATACCAATTTAAAAAGGTAGGCAGAAATGGAAGGAAAAAAAAAAAACCCAATGGAAATAAAAAACAAACCAGAAAGCAATTAAGAAGATGGCAGTACTAAGTCCTTACATGTCAGTAATTACTTTAAAAGTAAATAGATTGAATTCATCAATCAAAAGGCACAGAATAGCTAGATGGATTACTATCACAAGACACAACTATATGATGCTTATGGGAGATTCATTTCAGCTTTAAAGAGACACATAAACTCAAAATGAAGGCATGGGAAAGGATATTCCATGTGAGTAGAAAACAAAAAAAAGGGGAGTAAATATACTTATATCAGAAAATAGACTTTAAACCACAAATGATAACACAAGATAAAGATGTCTCTGTATAATGATAAAGGGGTCAATTCATCAAGAAGATAGAATAATCATAAATATATATGCACCCAAAATTAAAGCACCCAAATTTAGTAAGCAAATACTAACTGATCTCAAGGAAGAAGACAATAATACAATCGTAGTGAGAATTCAATACCCCCACTTTCAGCAATGGACAGATCATCCAGTCAGAAAATCAACAAACACATTGGATTTGAAACATATATTAGACCAAATGGATCAGACAGACATTTATGGAACATTTCATGCAACAGCAAAAGAATACACATTCCTCTCAGTTGTACATGAAACACTATCCAAGATAGATCATATGATAACACACACAACAAATCTCAGCAAATTTAAGAGAACTGAAATTATATCAAGTATCTTTCCCAACCACAATGGTACTAAACTAGAAATAAACAAGAGTAAAACTGGAAAATTTACAAATATGTAGAAATTGAACAACACACTTCTGAATAACCAATGGATCAAAGAAAAATCAAAAGGAAATTTAGAAAAATCTTAAAACAAATGAAAATAGAAACACAACATTGAAACTATTGGATGCTTCAAAAGCAGTTCTGAGAGGGAAGTTTATAGTGATAAATACATATATTTAGAAAAAAAGAAAAATTCTCAAATAAACCTAACTTTACACTTCAAGGAACTGGAAAAAGAAGAACGACTAAGTCCAAAATTAGCAGAAGGAAAGAAATAAAGATCAGAAGAAAATAAAAGATCAGAATAAGTCAAAGACCTGAAAGTTAATGAAAAAAAAATCAGTGAAACAAATGGCTTTTTGAAAAGATAGAATTTACAAACCTTTAGCTATACTAAGAAAAAAAGAGAAGACACAAATAAAAAGAAATGAAAGTAGAGACATTGATATTACAAAGGATCATGAGAGACTACTATGAACAATTATATGCCAATAAAAATTATATAACCTACAAGAAATGGGTATACTCTTAGAAACATACTACTTACCAAAGCTGAATTGTGAAGAAACAAAATTTGAACAGACAAATAATAAGGAGATTGAGTTGGTAATCAAAAACCTCTAAACACAGCAAAACCCAGGACCAGATGTCTTTACTGAAAATTCTACCCTACATTTAAAGAATTAACATCAGCCCTTTTCAAACTCTTCTGAAAAGTTGAAGAGGAGGGAAAACTCCCAAATTCATTTTATGAGGCCGGCATTACCCTGAAACCAAAGCCAGATAGGTACACTACAAGAAAAGAAAACTATAGGCTAATATTCCTGATGAATAGAGATGCAAAAATTCTCAACAAGATATTAGCAAACTGAATTCAAGAACACATAAAAAGGATTATTATACACCATGACCAACTGGGATTTATTCTTGGGATGCACGGATGGTTCAATACACAAATCAATAAATGAAATACAGAGACTTCCTGGTCAAGATGGCAGAGTAGGTACACTCTGCTCGCCTCCTACCATGACCACATCAAAATTACCACTAAATTATAGAACAACCATCTTTGAGAACCACCTAAAGACTAGCTGAACAGAAATCCTATAACTGAGAAT